TCCTGCTTTCATTCTGTAGGAACAGGATTTGACCATGTAGGTTTTTGAGGTAATGGGCTGTTATTTATTAATTTATTCTTAGCATTGCTTTTTTTGGCATTTAACCTTGATTTTGTTTTTTATATACTCTCAACTTAATACCTAACCTTCTGGTGGCTACCTGTTCATGTTATATTTTGATTGGCCTCAGAGAGTGCCCCAAAAGCAGCTTGTATCCCTTTGGAAAATGGAAATCTCAAGATCGAAGAAAAGGAACCCAGATTATCTCTGCAACACTTTAATTTGGTTTAAGTTAGCTTTTTTACATTTTCTTTCCAGATGATTAGATATAAGTGTATAAAATCAAAACATATCCTATATTCCTTAGTTCTGAAAGGAGTGAAAATGTTTAGCACCAACATTTTAATTTTACTGTCAGAAACAAAATTAATTCAGTCTACTACTAAACAAGTGAAACATCACACTTATATGTGAGTACAGAGGTCACTTGATACTTGAGTATGAAAGGACTATTGAAATGCCACCTCTGTTTTCTTTCTAAATCCAGACTCCTTTTGTGTGAAATACCTCGAAACCATTCCTCACTGGAGTGCCAACTAGTCCTTAAAACTGATCGCAGGCATCAATCAGCTTTCAAGTGTACTTTAATTTTTGTAATGGTACCAGAATAGGTATATAGTCCAATCAAAGCCTATATGAAAAAAGTTATAGGACCAAATTAGTTTCTGGCATAAGTAGGAACACTCTTTGTTACTTAAACTGCTACTATTTTAGCTGTTTTGTATAATTTTAGGTTAATCCTAATGCAAATGATACATTTAACAGAGATGTTCTAACATTAAAAATGGAACTGACAAAGGATTTCTTTCTACAAAAGCAGGAAAAGAAGTGCCCTGTACATAAAACAATCCGCCCTCTTAAACCCTTGCACTGAGAAATGTATACTGTAACGTCACAACACTAACCTTGTGGGTTATGCTGGTTGTTTTAAGGCCACGGAGCCATACACAAAAACAACAACATCAAAAAACCAAGTACATTTCAAGGTTTCCAAGATACCAAAATGTCAAACTCCAACTCATCAGCAGCCTAAACATTTCATTTTCCCTGATGCAGTTGAAATGTACTGAAATGCACTAAACATTGCTGCAAACAGAAATTTTAGAAGTAAGAAGTAATGTAAAATACACTGAATACAATAAACTAACAAATGTAAGGATTCTTATACTTATTAAACTATTAATCTTCAGACTGAATGCAACTGAAATTTCAGTAGATAATATACTTGCAACTTTGTCAGCATAGCATTACTGCAACCAGGGATCCCTGCCTGTGGCTTTAGTTTCTCCTGGATGTGTCTATGCGAGACGCTTAATGCACAGTAGCCTAATAACACCTTGCAGCAGCATGCCAGGCAAGAACTGTGCTAATATGCTACTGTGCAGTAGTATTAGGCTACTGCACAGTAAGCATCACTAAAAAACTGTGCTCTGGCACTACTGCTCAGTAACTGCAGTTACTGTGCATTTAGTTAGTACTTTATTAAGCAAGTACTGAACTAAATGTGCGGTACTACTGTGCATTAATGGATGTGTAGATATGTCCACTGTCTGCAGACCATACTGGGCTTGGTCACATGTAACAGTAGGCCCTAGACCAGTGGTCAGCAACCTTTTCAGGTTCAGGGCCAGAATGACCCAACTCCAGTGAGAGGCCAGAGGGCACTAGGATCTGGCCGCTGCTTCTCTTCCCAACAGCAGCGGGAGAGCTCTCCCTGCTGAATTCCCATGCTCCAAAGCCCCACATCCTAAAGTTTGTGCAAATGGCTCTGTGCCTGCCAACCCCTGCTTTAGGCCATTAAACAAAATGGTTAGTTTTGGTAATCAATGGTTACTGCATTAGAATACAGTAAAGACAATTTTTCAAAGATTTTCAAATACATCAATTTCAAGTCTCAACCTGCAATAAATGGCATTTTTAGCAGTGTCTGTAAACAGATATTTCCCCAAAAAGGTGATTAAAGTAGATAGTTATTTAAATGCAAAAGAAAAAGACTTGAAAGTGGAGATGGGAGGTTAGGATTGTAAATATTTAAGCATCTGCTTCAGTAGCCTGATTTTTAGGAGTCCTATCTTTAGCAATTCACATTGCCATCAAAGGGAACTACTGAATGTCTAAAAAATAATAGGCTACTTTTTAGGTGCCTGAACAGAGGAGCCTCACTTTTCACTCATTTGGTTTTGAAACCAACACATTCAATTACAGAACTGAATGAGAAAGCTCTGAGAATGAGAGAAAGCATTGTATTGTGTCAGGGTGGATGATAGTTTTATGAAGAGTTTAGACTATGGATTGTATAGGATGGTCAGTATAGGGGTGATGCTGCCTCAGGCATGGGGCTGGACTGGATGACCTCTGGAGGTCCCTTCCAGCCCTAATTCTTTATTATTTCTATTCCTTAATAAAAGGTTTGATTCATTCGTGTACAGTTTAAAAGGATTAATTTAAAAGAAATTAAACGTTTTTATGGAAGGAACTGTCCTCACCACAAATTTAAAATTCTCCTGGCTTTCTCCTATATTCTGAGGGTGAGCTGCTATACTTTCTCAATTTTAACCTGCCTTAGGTGATCAAGGTGCAATTCTGCTTTTTGAGTGTATTTGAGATGCTGTTTGTTATATATAAGGGACTAAGGGCACATCTAAATGTGCAAATAATCCAGGAGCAATTTATTCTACAGTAAAGTACCTAGACTAAACTCTCCCAGGCACACATCTACGCATGCAGAGATGCAGGGGCAGATTTGCTGCTTCTAGCAGTAGACTGCTCCTGCTCCCTGCGGCCCTGTACCAGGCCCCTGCAGCTGTCAGGGGAAGGTCTAGGCTCTTCCTGGGTGCTAGCCCAGGGGCCAGGAGACATCTGCCTCCTGGTGGGGGCTGGGACATTGCTCCCTGCCCCCAGGAGCTGCCTGCTGCCAGGGTGGGTTCTGTCACCAGAGCCTGGGCATGGACAATGTCCTCCTGCCCTGACATCAGGGAGCTCCCAGCTCAAGCCCCGTGATCATGGGGACAGGGCTGGGAGATCCTTATCTCCCAGCACCAGCTCCATGGTTGTGGGGCTGGCACTAGGCAAATCTCCCAGCTCTGGCCCCACAATCGCAGGGCTCAGGCTGGGAGATAAGGATCTCCCAGCCCTGGCCCCATGATCATAGAGTGGTGCCTGGGAGCTCTCTGCTACCAGGGCAGGGGGACATTGTCCCCATCTGGGCTCCGGTGGTGGAGCCTGCCCTAGCAGCAGGCAGCAACCAGAGGGAAGGAGCAATCTACTGCCCCCTGCTGCCCTGCTGACTGGCGCACATTTGCTCCTGATCAGGTGTCTACATGTGTGCTACTGTACAGTAAATAATCTTGAGTACATTTGCTACTTGCATTTGCAGGTAGCAAATTTACTCATGATTAGAGCAAATTACTGTGCAGTAAGCTCTAATCTCAAGTAAAGTGTCTTGTGTAGATGCGCCCTAAATCATTTTTCATAAAACCGGGTCAATTTGTACCCTCCAAAAGGAGATAAGCTACTGAAGTCAGTGGAATTGCATACTGATCCTGCCTGTGTTTCTTGTTCCTTCTGCTGAGGTGGAGATGATGGGATATACTCAACATTTCAGTTTACCTTTCAGATCTTATACTAAGGCTGGAAAGCCAAAGTAATCCAGCTCAAGAAGTGGGTATCCACATGAGTAACATGAATCTAGGATTGTTTCTCCTTCAGATCTTGCACCTTCACCAGTTGCAAGAAACAGTGTCTAAGGGTCCCTTAACTTCCACGGGCTTTGGACTAGACATACAGGACTAAAGTTAGGAACATAAACATGGAAGTAACCAATATTCAAGGACAATCCTGAAAGTTTTGGCTTAAATGAATTGTCAAGAAAAGCAGTTTATGACAAAATTATGATAGGAACCCAAGAATTCCTGGGCCCTGTTTCTATGCCTAGACCATGCCTCTGAGTATATGTCTTCATTCTAATTAAAGGTATTACAAAGCTTCACAAGACAGAAAGATAAACGCTATCAGACATTCATTTGTGTTCACTGAATACTGTCTTAGATAGCCAGGTTGCTAGTACCTGCAGAAATCTCCTTCTGCCTCTGGCAGGGTCAGTGAAGCCACTGGATTCTTCATTAGGTCTGCCACAGAGTTGTCCTTTGGAGTCACATAAAAGAAAGGGATTCCAGTGCTGTTATTTATGGGCCCATCACTGACAGGTAAATAATTCCCAAATGGCATCCCTTGGATCTGGAAACACAAACATTCAATTCTGTAAAGTTTTGCATATAAATGTTGTACAAAACTGGAGGCTTCCCCAACATCAGCAGCAGAAATGGAAATAGAGCCTAGATGTTCTGGATCCCAGTTGCCATTGTCACCACTAGACCAAGTGGGCATGTCTACATGTACTATTAATTTGACTGATTAAACCTGGTGTGGTTTGCATCAGAGTTTATTGCTCCTGGGCACTGTGTGTACATGTGTGCCAAGGACTGCAGTATGTTGAGCCGGGTTGGAGCAGCCCTAGCTGACAGGGAGCTCGGGGGGTCAGCCTGCCAGCCTAGGGCTTCCCTGACCCGGCTCAACATACTGTGGAGGGGCTGGCTGGGGCATGAGGATGCTTCAGTGCAGGGCTAGCTGGCAGATAGCCCCCTCACTGAAGTACCCTTGTGCCCCAGCCAGTCCCATCAGTCTCTACATGTGCGTTGGGGCAGAGTAAATCATGCTGCTACAGGACAGTACTTGTGTTACAAGTACTGTTCTATGGTGGTGTTTATTAGTTTACTGTGGCCTAATAAGTCCTCATGTGTACAAACTGAGACTTTACTACAAAGCTAATTAGGCAACTTTTCAGTAAATGTCTTGTATAAATGCACTTGTTACCTTCTAAACTAAACTGATTTTTCATCAGGGATCCTGGTTTTCTCTGATAAAAAAAGAATCTTCAATGTTTGAATTTTAAAAAGTAACCCAAACTCCACATTTTTTCATGATTAAAATGAAACACCACTAATATATATATCATGAAATATATTAATATATATATATGTTATATATCATGAAATATATTAATATATATATTATATATCATGAAAAAATGTGGAGTTTGGGTTACTTTTTTAAATTTGCAAATTGGAGATTTGTTTTGGTATTTTTTATCAGAGAAAACCAGGATCCCTGCTTATCATACTGCTATGACAACACATTCTCTCATATGCTCTCAAAATGTCTTCAAACAGCACAGGAGAAAATAAATTAAAACACATATATATGAATTAAAAAAACCCATGAACACATCTATACCAAACCACATGTCTATCATTTCATAATCTCAGAGAATTTCTATTTTAATTCAGACTTTTAGTTGGCTTTTTTCACTATTTTCCCCCCTATCTATATTGAGCTTTTAATCTGGAAGGTGCCCATATCTGCCTAAATTAAAATAGAAACCATTTTACCTAGAACCGTATTTAAAGTTTTTTGCCTTTAAACACAGTTCTAGATCCTGGTTAGTGGTCCAGTATGGATTGGCTTACAGGCTCTACTGACATCACTTGTTGTTAAATCCTATTGACAGTAATGGAAACAGGAGCAGATCAGTAAGCTGTGTTTTCAAAAACTCACTGTTTCAGCTGTGGACTTAAGCTGTGGACTTAAATAATAAAGTGAAAAAAATGAGTTAATTTAGTGAAACTGGTACATTCCGGTAACAAAACCTAGCTAAATTGTATCATCATCCAGAAAAAAGTCTGGATGATAATATTACCTGGATCACACATTTTTCATTATGTTCATATACTTGTATTGTTATAATGTTTATATGCAGCCTCTTCTGCAAATGGTAAGCGGATTTTTTATGCAGCCACATAACTTGGACATTAAAAATATTTGTATATTTATTAAGATGTATAAATTTAAAAATAGCAGCTATCAACAGTTTAGCACTAGAAGTTTCAAATTGTTTTGAAAATCTGTTTTTTCATACCTGGTTAACTTTATAGTTCACATCCAGAAAGGAAGAGTGAGCACATGAAGTATAATTCATACAAAATAATCACACCTCTTAATTACAAATTTTATTATAAATCCATTTTTTTACTTATGTATTGTAATTACAGAAAGCTAACCACATTCACTGAATTAATGCTGCATTTCCATCAGAAGCTTTTGGTGAGACTATAAATCGTAAGAGTTAAGATATGGGTCAATAGTATCTCTGAAGCCTTGAGATGGAATTACAAACGTGTAGTGTACAAATGAGAATATTTTATTAATGATATCTTTTTAGATTTGACACTTTGCAGTTCAGAGTAACACAAACAGCCAGACAGCAATTGTTTGAACAGTGTTTTTAGGAGGTTTGACTAGCTTCTAACTTTTACTTTATGTTTTTTAAATATAATTTTAAACTTAGTAATTTGTGAACAGTTTAAAGGAACAGTGAATTTAAAATAGTCTTTCCTGTTTGCAAATATTAGTGATAACTGGGTCCAGCTCAAAGCTGCTTTGTTTTTTATTTATTTGTTTATTTATTTTCAATCAAAAGGCAGTTTTTTAAATCTGGAAAAATTAATAGCCCAGTATCAGTACTGCCAAATCTGTTTTGTACCACATTGCTGACACAAAAGTGGTCCTGAGGCTGGCAGAGCTAATTATGGTAAGATGACCCTGGGATAGACAGATCTTTTGGTAGCACAGAGCTAGTGTAGCTGCTCCCAGCCCATCTCCCTCACCTTGCAACTGATACAGAGAATATAGATCACGCAAAGGGGACATAGCTAGTATACCCTTTTATTCTGTTGATCCCTTGAGGCCATCAAAGTCAGTATACCTTAGAGCAGGCTGCTCTGAATTAATACTGGGGTGGGGGAACAGTTCAGTACACAGTCAGCCGAAGGTTGAAGGAATGCAAAGGCCTCTCTCCAAAAACTATAATGTAATCTGTTTGGTTGCAGCAGTGGATCTAGCCCAATGCTTTTTCTCTTCTTTTTCTGCACCTCATTAGGGTGGCCTTTAGCATCTCTTCCACTGAACTCTTAAGCATGATTTCCCATCCTACCCTAACTAGCAGAGAAGCAAAACTGTAAATGTTGCTACATATGTGCCTGCGCTGTACTTTTACTGGCTGTTTGAATAACATTACTGACAGCTTTTATTATTTACCCTGCATATTTTGTGGCTGACATCAGGAGATGATTATGAAATAATAAAATATTGTTTTCTGTAACAGTGCTGGGCTGTTATTATGCAAATTTGCATTATAATAAACTGTAATGTTAGCAAATAATTTGTAATTTATATTGAGAAAGCTTTTCCAAAACAGAATAATTATTTACTGCCTTTTTCAGAACACTAAAACACAAGCAATAAATCTGCAAGCCCTCTCTGGCTGTTCAGCTCAGCATTAAAAGAGAATTCTCTATTGCTAGCATAAGATGTCACGGTACCTTTTCCTGCGTGGACTGAGTAGCCAAGAAGCCCCAGCTGTTATAATGGCTCAGGAAACGGGCAGTTCTGATTGCTTGCTCCAGAGGAGCAATGCTGTCGTCTGTCGCTTTGACACTCTCTCTCCTGTAGGAAAACATCCTAGAAGGAGAGGATACCTGCTTGGATCTTCCAGCCACTGGCCTGGACCTCATTTGCCCATCTTCTTTGTAAACAGAGGCCGGGTAGCTCTGCTTCCAGATGCTAGTCGTGTCTTCCAGGAGTGCAGGGAGAGCTTCCTCGTTGGAGGAGCTATCCAGTTCTTCCTCCACCTCATTGGTAACAGACCAGGAGACAGAGTTGACTATCACATATCCCCAAGCAGGAGAAAGCATCATGCTACACCAAAGCAACCAGGAGAGCCAGGATACAGACACAGTCCTTTTCCTCAGCTGTATTTGATAGCAGCACACAGACATTTTGTAACAAACACTCCGGGCTAAGAGCCACACTGAACCTTGCCTAGCCTGAACCTTTGGAATGAGAGCAGCACCCTCCTGTGGTGAACGCTGGCACAGAGCTGAAATACACTTGCTCTTATTAAAGCAATATCAGCCTGTAGCGTCGCCATGTAAACTACACAACTCTGCTGCTTGGAGCAGAGGCTGAAGTAACACAGAAGCTTAAGCAACAACTAGCAAACAAAATAATTTGTCTAAGACCCAGCTCCGCTTGAAGGAGCGTCTCAACAGTCTACCCATCACACAAAAAAAAATGTAGTAGAATGTCTACAGAAACTCCAAAAAGTATGACAGCTTGAACATGAACAGCAAAGGGATGCAACCACTTCTGTCACATTGTATACGGCTTCCACGCTTTCTGTCCTCCCACCTCCCCATCAAGCCTTGGGCTGTGCCTTTGGGCTATATTATAAACTGCTTTGTCAAATACCCACAGCAGAAGTCATGGGCTATCTACTTGACTGGGATAGTTAATCACTCAGGAACAATCCTGCCTTGAGAAAGGGCCTGGACTAGATGACCTCAAGAGATCCCTTCCAGTCCTATTTTTTCTATGATCCTATTTGATAAAAATACAGATTTAAAAATCAATTAGATCCCTGGTACAGTAGCATATATCAGAGCTCTGCACAGTTTCTTATAATATGGTATGTTGATGGAGTAGTCAGGTTTTTTTTATAAATAAATGTTATCTATCAAGTATGCTCTCTCTCCTTATACTTTTTTCCTTTGGCAAATAGCCCTAACTTGATCCCTTGTCATAGTAACCTGGCTATTCTGCATTTTGATATCCATCCCAATTATTGGATTGAGAACCAAAAAAAAAAAAAAAAAAAAAGAAGGTTGAAGATAAGCAAGGATTTTCAAGAACAGAAAGATGGAAAGTTAAGCTAGTTTCCCTCCCCACTTCAGGAAATGTCTTCTAGCTTCTTGGGGGTTGCCTGCCACCTTCTCACCTTTCCTGCACTAGTGCTCCACAAAACTATTAGAAACAGTTAGTTCCCAGGCATGTCTACACATGCTATTAAGGACACTGAATAAACTCCAGCACAGTTCATACCAGAGTTTATTGCTCCTGAGTGTACCATTTGTGTGTGCGCCCAGGGCAGCAGCACATTGAGCTAGGTCAGAGCAGCCCTAGGTGGCAGGGGGCCCTGGGCTTCAGCCTGCCAACCCAGGGCTGTTCTGACCCAGCTCAACATGCTATGGAGGGGCGGGCTGGGGCACGAGGGTACTTCAGTGCAGATATAGCTGGCAGGCAAGCTTTACTGAAGCACCTTTGTGCCCCAGCCAGCCCCATCAGTGTCTACATGCGTGTTGTGGCATGCTAAATAATGCCCCCATAGGATCGTACTTGTGTACGATCCTATGGCAGTATTTATTAGTTTACTGTGGCCTAAAAGGGCCGCATGTGTAGACACTGAGACTTTACTGCAGAGCTAATTAATTAGTCAGCTCCACAGCAAACGTCTTGTGTAGATGTGCCCAAGTATTACCCAGTTTATTTCTTTAGGCTAATGCTTTTGTGATACAATTTTAATGTATCAGTTTATTTCCAGGATTTTGCTAGATCATTCCTTTGGTACTATGGTCATATAGGAAAATAAGACAATATAATGGCTGGCATACGAATGGGAAATCAATAACATATTATACATACTATTCTGGCTTGATTAATAACATTGTATGTGAGATACTGACTCTGCAGTATCTCAGCAAAAAGTGGAAAGTTCAGCAAGAATTTTTCAAGATTCTTGACAATACCAATTCCTGCCCCTGAGATTAGAGTTGAGTTCTGTGTATACTAAATGGCATCCCTATTTCTGGGTTACATACTGTAGATAAAAAGAAACATTTGGTTAGGTCATTAGTTTTGCCCATAGTTCCTGTCAAGTTTCTTTGCCACTGTGGTTTCAGGAAAGGCTTTCACATTACTAAAGATAGAAACACAGAAAAGGGTAAGATGAAAAAACAACCAGACAAATACATTCCACAGCAGGATTTCTTATAGATTTATTCAAATATGCCAACCAGTTTAAAAAGATCAGAGTTAAAAACAATAACAACAAACTTTAATACAACTGCATAACTGGTAATTACAATCTCCCCTTATCCCCAAATTCCCAGGAAAATACAACATTTTTTTTCTTAAATATAAACTACACACATCGTAAGTGCAATACACCCTTGCAAACAATTCTTAAAGGTCTGTCTGGTTTTCCCTTAAGCAAGTACCACTGGAGATCTACTGTGGATCAGAGGTGCGAATAATAAATCTCTGTCCATCTTTTAGAGTAATGAGTGCATCCTTTCCAACTGGAAGATTCAGTTTAACAGAACTCTTGGTAATTTTGTCTTCCAACATAACTTGGAGGAGCTGAAAATAAAACATCAAATATTGTAAGTATTGTTACTGAGGAGAGGTTGCATCCAGTCTCTTCTTTCTACTGAACAACATGTCTTTTCTTTTACCTGTTTCTTCAAACAGTGTGCTGGTTAATGGGTTCCTGCATGTAATTAGTACATGCTGAATTCAATACCTTGCATGTTTAGGATTGTGCCCCAAACTTTTACCATTTAATTTCACCAAGTGAGTCTACACTGAACTCACAAAAGTTATGGCAGTGTAGCCTGGTGCTCTGTGAATGAGTAACTTGGCTACCAGAAGCAGCTTAGCAATGGCAGTGTGGGCTAGCATGCAAAGCAGTCTCAGTGTACCCCTAGTCTACTCATGTAATGGGACACAGTTAATAGGAACCCCAAGCCAACCTTTAACGTATGATTTATAGTTGTACATACTACTCTGTCATATCCCCTCTTATTCTCTATTTCTCCAAAATTTCTCCCAGCCCTTTCAGTCTCTCTTTGCCTGAAGTGCCTCTCAAGGCTGTGATCTTGCCCTCACTGGTATCTGTGCTGCTTCTGCAGTGATCTTGGGAGTGCTACTCTCCCACCTGCTCCAGCTCCATATGTGCTAAACCAGAAACAAAGCTGCCCTGCGGCTGCACCTGCCAAAACTCTTGGGAGGTGTTTCTGGCAGGCCTTCAGCACAGTGTTACCATCTCACATCCAGAGCCAGCAAGGCCAGAGTGGGAGGCTGGTGAGCAGGGCATACCTGAATATAGTACTGCCAACACTGCTGATATACCAACTGGAGTCAATCAGAACTTTACCTTGACTTCAGTGTGGCCAGGATTTCACCCTGGGTCTCTAACTGCTTTAATTAACATTTTTTACTGTATCTATAACCTGCTTGATTATAACAAGCAATGAACTGAGAGCACATCACTGGTTTATATGAGGCAGTTAACTGTTTCCTTGTTTCCTCTATCCTCTTCAAAATTAAAGCACTGGGTTTGCTTGTATGGCACCGCTAACCCATTGAGCTATGTACAGTGATACTCAGGTCTGTTCTCCCTGTGATTTGCAGTAGACTGTATGTGATGTGGGCGTAGAATTGGATTAAAAGCTACAGTGCAGGGCTCTGAAGATAAACCCACTGCAGGAGTTCAGTTTAATGGGATTTTAATTTGGTAACAGGTGAACAAAGAGAGGAAGCACAGAGTGAGTATGCTGGGGTATTATAGATGAAGGAACATTGCTCATGCTGTGAGAAAGAAACTGCAAGCTCTGTGATAAGAAATAAAGATCAGCTCCACATTTTCTTAGCTGCACTTCAATACATTACAGCACGTTTCAAACCCATCTATTTGTGCGGTCAGTTTGTTCTTACCAATTATTTTGCATTTGATTATGTGGCATTTTATCTGCCACATTGCCCATTGACCCACTTTTGCTAAATCCTTCATTGTCTCATTTTTTATTTTACCCTAATTTTTCTACTAAAATAAGTGTTTTGTTAGGAGATGTTTTACACTGCTTTCTAGAGGATTTTATTAACAATGGTTTTAATTTATTCAAACATGTGCTGGGTCCTTCCCAATTAATTTTAAAAAAGAAAGCAAGAACATGGTCCCTGCACTGAAGAGTGCAGTCTAAATTTGACAAGAAGCAGCAAGTGAAGTCCAGCAACAGATACAGATGGTACAGAAGAGGAAGAATGACGCTGACAATCCAAAAGATGACAGAGTTACTTGGCACAGCACAGACATATATTGACACTGCTGGTTTGGGGGTTTTTATTTATGACTCCTGTTACCATTCCTCCCTCTCACTTCTTAAAGGCTTCAGAGAAGAACAGAGCTTTTTAGCAGTCATTTAGATGAGATGAGGGTGGAGGTGTGACACAGACTTTCTGAGCATAAGAGGCTGCACCAAAATGCTTAAGCAGCCAATTTAGCTTTCCAGCCCCATCACACTTCCCACTTTCAATTCTCTCTCAGTCCTTAATTTTTCCTTCCACTTTCTACTTCTTGTTTCCCATGCCCCTCCACAAATCCACTCTGCCCTCCATTTCCCTGCCTTTACCCCATCCTCTCATACCTTCACATACCCCCCTCATGCTCACTCTGATCAGCCCTGCCCTGCTCCACTTCTCTCCCCCATGGTAAATAAGTGAACTATAGTTTCTCCTTAGTCTACTACTTTGTTATTTCCTCCTAATTCTTAAAGATCAGAGAAGCAGCATGTAATTGTTACAACACCAGTTCCCAGCCTTTCCAGGCTCACTACCCCAATTCCCAGGTGAGCCCATTTTTAACAAATGAATTTCCATGGGGCTCACAACCCTACTCCTAAGTGTCGTGATGCCACTGGGGTTGCAAACCTCATCCAGGAAACTATGCTTTATAAAATTCCCTGCTGGTTTGACTTGATTTGCTTGTATCCTTCTAATGTGCTTTAAGTGTACTTCTTTCATGACTATCATGCTGGGTGCATCTACACATGCTATTAGCATACAGCCATAAACTCCGGTACATGTGGCGCTGGAGTTTATTGCTCATGGGCTCCACATTTATACATACGCCCAGGACTTCAGCACATTGAACTGGATCAGAGCAGCC